CCCCCCCCCCCCCCCTCCCCTTCCTACCACAACTCCGTCCCAAAAACCGGCAAAAACACCACGCAAGCCTTCCACAAAATCATCACCGCCTGAACAACCGCCAGCGGCAACATCACCGCCCCCAAAACCACATTCCCCCCGCACAACTCAACAGTGTTCATCCAGATCGCCAAAAACGCCACGGTAAAAAAATGCCTAGCCAGCACCAACGGCCTCTGCATCATCCCCCCCATCAGCGCAACCGGCTCGTCCGTCCTACCCATCTGAAAATACCGAAAACACCCCCTCTGCAGCGCCCTCAGCTGCCAATCATTCGCCGCAAACAGGCTGTACAACGCCTGCGCCAAAACATTGATAATGCTCGTCAGGCTCTTCCGGCGGTAGTGAAACGTGCTCATTGCCGACGCCACCGCTCCGTGATCAGACAGGTTAGGGATTTGCTCCGGGGAGAGCAGATCCGACAAGACAACCGCGTCGTTGAACGCGACAGTCATGCCTCCCCCCGTCAAGGGGTGGCGCATATTGTGCGCGTCTCCCAGGACTAAAACGCCAGGGGTGGTTGTCTGTTTCGTGGGCGGGAGCCAGCTGTTTGGCATTGATTTCGGAATCTTCCCGTCGGCGAGCGCCTTGACAACGGAGGGTTGGACTGATTTAGGGAGGGCAGGCAAAACGACGTTTTGGATGTATCCCCTCACTCCCCCGTTCTGAGGGGAGGCAGCCGCGCAGTCGAGTGGGACGTCGATCAAAGCCCTGGTTTCGCGAGTGCCGATTTGGTAGAGCAGAACGACCGACGCGTCCCCGATGCAGACGTGGCCGTAGTATTGCGGGGGGAAATCACAGTCGATCAACTCCAACGCATAAAACTTTGACTTGACGATGGGGGTCTTGTTCAGAAGCGGTTGTCTGAACTTGCTGGCGTAACCATCCGCCACGATGGTCAAGTGAGCAAAGAAGGCCTCTTCCTTCTTGAGGTTCTTCTCCTTGTCTGTTGTCGTCCTCGTCTTCACACCTAGTACCTCCCCTCCCTTTTGGACGAGATCTGTCACCTCTGTTTCGAAAACAGTGATATTCGGATGTTCATGACACGCCTTCCTCAGCTGCATGATGAACCTCCCGTGGTGAAACGCCCTCCCCTCTGGCCCTCTCCTGTCTCTCTTCTCCCCTCTTGTCACCACGACGTTTCCCTCCGGCGAGACAGTAGGGTATGGGATCGCGACGTCATCACCGCGGTACAAGACGTGGTAGCCGTAGCAAGGGATAGCATCGATGCCCTCCAGGCATTTCCCCAGGCCGAGTTTCTTGAGGGCGGCTACACCGCCCGGCTGGAGGAGTTCGCCTACGATGCGGTCGGGCTCGTGGAGCCAGCGCTCGAGGAGGATGACGGAGCGGCCTTGGTTTGCGAAAGAGAACGCGGCTGCGCAGCCGAAGACACCGGCGCCGATGACGACGATGTCTGCTTCGTGGTGTTGCTCGCGGCGGGTGCGCTCGTGGTCGAGGGCGGATTTTGGTTTGGAGGCCATGATGATGGGCGGTATGTGTTGTGTGTTTTGCGGAATAGGTGAGAGGGGACGGGGAGGGAGAAAATATCAGACGAACGGTGAGGTCACCGTGGTGTCGTCGTGGCGGAAAAGGAAGGAATTGGCTTTTGGCGATTAAGTTTAGAGTAGAAGGTTGCAAACAAAACAACAAAAGTCCCGCGAAAAACCAGCGCCTTTTAGACCGCCTCCCAATTCCTCTAATCGTGATTCGTCAATGGGGGGTCGGAACTTTCTCTCTCTCTATCTCTCTCTCTCTCTCTCTTCAAGTACACGAAAAGCAAAAGAAAGCAAAAAAATAAAACAAAAAGTGGTGTGTGTTTCCTGGCTCTCGAAATTGACCTCCAACTGATCTCGACGACAAATCGTCCCATAGCGGGAAGCACCGCTCATCGCCCCCGGTCCCAGCCAACCAATCACCGCCCGAGCGCATGGGCCCCCTTTTCCCCTTCTGCGCGTTCTTGCCCCTGACAAGCCCCACCCACCGCGACCCGACCGCTTCCAGAAATTCACATGTCAGTCGATGGCCAAGACGCTTGAATTCCAATTGCGTGGCCTGTTTTTATTCAAATATGATCATATTCGTCAAACTTTTCATGTTACATTTGTTTCCCTTTTTCGAATCCCCCAGTTCCCAAAAACCTCCCGATAATGCAATATGCTTGGTATATATGTATTGTACAACGGCCCCCCCCCTTTCCCAACCCTTACGCTTGGGTCAACACCAATATCGAACCATCCCCGCTCTCTATCCTCCCCTCCTTCCCATAGGTACTATTCAACCAAGGGATCTCGTCAAAGTCCACCGGCGGATACCCAGCAGCAAGTGCGCTCTCCTTCATAACCCTCAGCGCATCCGTTCCCAGTCGTGCAGCGTCCACCCTCAGTATCTCCCTTGCTTCGACAATGGCTTTGATCGCCTTCTCCAGAACCTCATAGGCCTGCTCTTGTTTCGACTTTGCTGTCGTAGACTCTGGGTTCGGCTCGAACCTCTTGACGTAGTTAAACGCCGTCTTGAGCATGTTGAGGCAGGCAGTGTCCTCTTTGTAACTGCTGCTCAGAGCCCGCCCAATCGCTAGCTTCAGCCTTGCCACGTCGAGGAGTTTGGTTGCCGCACTGAGGATGATGCCAAAGTTGGCGAGGTTATAGCACGGTGATTCACCTTTGGCCTTGGCGGCATGAGCAGCGTAGACTATCGCTCCAGAGTAGAACCGCATCGTGAGGCATATCCTCGCTGCTTGGTGCAGTGCCGTGTCTGTGGGGTTGATCCCTAGCTCTTCCATGCCTCTGAGGCTATCCTGAACAACCATCAGCATGCGACTTGGGTGCCACGCCTTCCTTTCCCTCTTCATGTCTGTGAAGAGGTTGCGAATCTTCCAGCCAACGATATAATTGATGATTCCCTCCGTCTCAAGCCCATTGTCTTGTGCATCCCGCACGAGTTCGTACGCGTCTTGATAGCTATCCGGCTCAGCCTGCAGCTGCGCCTGAACCGCCAGCCGCAGTGTCCCATGGGAGACATCCATCCCCTCGTGTCGAGACACCCTGTACATCCTCAATGCCACCCTCGGGTGGCCGTACGTCAGATGCTCCTTCATAACCAGCGCGAGCTCCCTCGCGTCCGCACACTTGCCCTTGTGCGGCAAAATATTGCGCTCAACACGTAGAGACAACAACCTCCCCCTCGTCGCCCTCCCCCCGCTCCCATCCCCCAACGCCGCCCTCACCATCACCGTCTCGGTGTACCTATCCGCAAACTTCGGACTCAACAACCTCAGCTTCCGATAAAGCGTCCTCAAATCCCTAAACGGCATCTTCCACTCCCTCCTCAGAACCGTCAAAATAACATTGCTAAACGCCGCATCCACCTCAAACCCCAACCCAGCACAGTACTCCAACCACTCCACCATCCTGCCCACATCCCTCCCCTTCGCATACTTCGCCCCCATCACGCTGAAGATGTAATTGTTCAGCGGCACCCCCAACCCCTCCACATACCCCCTCAAAAACCCATCCGTCTCCTCCACCGTGTGCCCATCCGCATACGCCTTCAGCACCGGCACAAAAACCTGACTGTAATTCTTCATCCCCTCTGGATCGTCCTCCTCAACCTTCATCCTCTCAAAAATCGCCCTCACCGCCTCCCAGTCCCCCACGGCAGCATAATGCCTCGCAAAAACCCCCAGCATCCTCACATCCTCAAAAACCACAAACCCATCCGCCGCCGACTTTTCAAAATACCACTCCGCCAACGCCTCCTCCCCAGCCTCGAGAGAAATTTCCACCATGACCCGGTACAGCGCGTCAGGGTAGAGGACCTCCTTCTCGATGCCCGCCTCCTCCCCAAGGGTATCAAACAGCCTCTGAGTCCCGCCAAAATCCTTATTCCTCCTCCAGTGCGCCACCAGCAACCTCGTAGCCAGCTCGGACGGCATCTTAAAGTCGATACCCCTGTACAGTTTTCTCAGCGTGTGCAGCACATCATCTGCCCGGTGGTTGTGCGCCTTTTCAACGCAATCGACCGCCAGCCTGGCGATGTCATACAGCGACACCGAGTCCGGCATGCAGTTTGCGTAATTGAACCGGAATATCTGGATCGCCATCTTGTAGCTGTGTTGCTCGGCCAGTTTGGTCAAATACCAATGCGTGAACTCGGGAGTTGCGTCCCCCATACGGAGGGCATAACCATGGCACCGCCGATAAATTTCTCGGCCGTTGATGAGGTGGCCAGCCGCGAATCTCGCTTCAAGCAGCCTCCGGCCGGTTTCGTGGAGGCCGGGGTCAACCACGGGGGTTCGGTCCGCAATTTTGGGACGGTAGACCACCGCGGCGAGGTCGAGGATGCGCAGGCGGGCGTCTTGGTTGGATTTGAGGGTTTCGGCGTGGGCCAGGAGGGAGCGGATGAGGGAGGATGGTTCAAAGGCGTAGTAATCGATTTCGTTGATTTTTCCGCTTCGCAGGACTCGTGCGAGGACGTTGCCTGCTTCTTCGAGCATGCCTGCTTCTTGGCAGGTTCTGCAGAGGAGGGCGGTGCCGGATAACCAGCCTGGTTGTCCTGTGATGGCGCTTTCGGAGTTTTCTAGGACGAATTGAACGACGTGGCCGAGCCGGGTTGCGTTTTTGGAGATGCAGGCCTCCTGGATTAACCTCAGGATCTTTATTGTCGAAGGGAATTGAAGGGACTGGACGGTGTTGAGCCACGAGAGGGAAGCGGTTGGGTCGGTAGTCTGTCCAGCCGTCTTTCCTTCAAGCTGTGTTGTCGATACTGTGTTGGTGGGCACATCGGGAACACCTGCGCCGGTGGTAGCCTTCCTCTGAATGGAGGAGATATCCCGAAACGACCTCGCCTTCGCAGAAGCCTGATGCTCCCTATACCATTCCGGAACCGCCACCGACCTCTTCACTCCCTCCTCCCGCCCATCCCGCCACGCCGCAGCATTAAACTCGGCAAAAGGGTCCAATTCCGGCGGTTCAGCCACCAGCTCTACATCCCCCCTCCCCCCTCCCACCTCACCCTCCACCCCAGCATCTCTCTTCTCCTGCTTCTCCAAACAAGCCCCTCCACACTCCCCCCCCCCATCCGCAGGCGAAAGCACAACCGGCTCCTCATCAACCTGCACAGCCCGCTCAAGCAACACCCTCAACCTCGTCCTCCCCCCTCCCGGCCTGTACTGCCGACAGCTCTTGAGCCTCTCCCCATTCTCCACAATCCTCAGCGCGCTATTTATCCTCCGCCTCCGATCCTCGGCAATAATCGCAATGGTGCAGGTCGTGCCCACAACAAGCCCTTGGAGCGCCGTCAGGGCAGCCTTGGAGGGCACAGGTAGATTCGGCGGCATCGTGGTGGTCGTCGGCGCTTGATCTTCATTTCGTCTGGCGCATTGCTGGAAAAAGAAAAGAAAAGAGTCGTCAGATTCCCTCCCCTCTGAAACTGCCGTACGTCCCGTAGGTTGGTAAACTCAATCGAGCGCAGCGGCCATCATACGAGAAGAATAATTATTTTTTTGGGACCGAATGACATGATAGTTACTAGTTTGCGAGAAGCTCCCCCCCCCCCAAGAATGGGTCCTTCAAGCTGAGGTTCAAAGCCGCAGCCAATCACAACCCCGCCTTCTTGGGGGAGCTTAGGCGCGCCAAGACAAAACTGTTATGGTTGCATTACCCCGAGAATTACTGCAGCTGCTCTATGTAGCTCAGCTATCACCAAGTCTTTCAAAGATCTTCAGTTGTTGTTATTATATCTTGCTGATTGAGGAGTTCATACATCTATCCCATCTATCTCCTTAAAAGTCTGTCTATCCAGCCCAACCCTCCCACCCATCCTCCCAAAAATAACGCCCACATAAGTTAACCTCCCCTCCACCTTCCCTACCCATGCATGTCTTCATCTTTTCATATCATACAATGGTCTATATACAAGTACATTTCATGCTGCGCGCCATCTATTTACCCTAGATCTAAACGACCTCCCGGCGCTCCATCGGCATGTACCTCTCCAGCTGACGGAGAACATTCTGGTACAAGAACAGCATGCACCCACTCTGAATGCTGGTCCAAACCGCCCTCGGCCCAACACCCCTGAACCACCCCCCAATACCCTCGCTCTTGTAGATGATCTTTAGCCCAGTCATGACCGAGGACGTGTTGAGCGTTACAGCACCGGGTTTGGGCGTGTGTGTCGAGGGCGACGAAGTCGATATCAACCGCTTCTGCAGTTTCGGGCTCGCTGCTTCGGCGACTGGTGTGCCATGTTGTCCGTCTTTGACAACGGCAGGCTTTGCGATCACGGGCGAAGACTGTCCTGGTACCTCAACGACCTGAGTTTGGAGTCTCGTCTTCACAACGTCCAACGGGCATGTTATCGTCCCGGCCAAACCACCCGCTGCCGCACCAGTCAACAACTCGAGCTGCCAGCCAATATCCCGGCCATCCTTCCACTTTCGAGCCCAGGCTTGACCCTGCTCGTAAAACATGAACTGGAGGGCCGAATAAGGCAGATCGCGCCATAATGTGGCACCGTAGCCGTAAAACAGAGCCGAGGGGCCTTCGTTGCGGACGATGGTCCTCAAGGCGTCTGTTGTTCCCCGATAGTTGTACCCCGAGGTGAAATGCGGGTTGTTGTATCGTCCCTGAAGCTGGAGTCTTGTCTTGAGCACCTCGGAGGGAACATAGACAAAAGAGGCAACAAAATCGCCGAAAAATCCTGCAGAAAACACAACCATCAGCCTACGATTCTCCCCCCAACATCAACCCCCCACCCTCACCCTCTTCAGAAATTTCCACTAACCAGCCGTGAGATATGTCAAATGTGGCTGGATGCCAAAGTCCAACATCTGCCTCTTGCTCCATTCATAGCTCCCAAAGAACAAAACAGTCCCCGGAAAAGAGCCAAACAACGCCGGCAGCCATCCACCATATAGCCCTCGCCGTATCCCTTCCTGTCGCCAAATCTTGTAATACGAGGATCCGAGAGACGTGTACTTTGGCGGAATGTGAGGGTCGCCCTGCTGTCGTGTTTTTACCGTATCGAGCGAGTGCATGAGCATATCGCCGCTCGTACCGCCTATCCCGCCCGCAAGCATGCACTGCACAAAAGTGAAGACAGGTCAGCGCACAAGTCGTCGGACCGCCGGACAGCCCTCAGAAACCGAGGGAGAAGCCAGCGGCAAGAAAAGAGAAATTAGAGTACAAGTGACGACGCACGTGCAGGTAAGGCGGGCGGCCTTCCAGCTGCTCTCCATCTTCGGATTCGGATCTCATATTATGCTGAATTTCTGGAGTGGTGGTATGCTGCGAGAGGATGCCCGGTGTCTGGGTAATAACATGATGGTCGAGGGGGGACTGCTGGCTCGAACTCGGCGACGACGACGACGACGATGTGGTGGTGGTGCTATTGCTACTGGCGGCGGCAGATCCAAAGCCTAGCACCATCGCTCGCCCCGGGGCAGAAAAAAGAAGAGAATTGCGCTATGCGCCGCCCAGGCCAGGGGGCTCAGGAAAGAAAATTCTCTCGTTATTTTTCTCGGCCTTCGAGTTTCGTCACAGGGTTCTTGCGTCGTCGGATTCGGGGTTGCTGCGCATATCGCAAATTCAATGTTTCCCAGTTCAAAATTCTGGGCGGCACCTGGTGCTCCAGACCTCCGATCTTTTTTCGCTAGCGTCATTGGTGTCTCTTGGCCCGTGCCATGCACACCCCTTCTCTCTCTAAGAGAGAGACATGCATTTTGAGCCTCTTGAATTGGCATTTACAACTGTTGTACACATTTGATACTTACACCCATAACCCATAACCCATAACCCATAACCCATAACCCATAAATATACAGCCTTTCCCATGTCCCTTATCCGTTCCCTTTGCGTGACCATTCCCACAACCACTCCCACAACCCACTCCCACAACCACTCCCACAACCACTCCCACAACCACTCCCATACCTCCCATCCCTCTCACGCCCTCACAACCCCCCTCCCCGGCACCTCGGGAACAACCCTCACCAACCTCCACCCCCTCAAAACATAAACCACCCGTCCCGTAACCAAACCCGCACTGACCGGCCCATAGTAATTACTATCCCTACTCCTATCCCTATTATCCCCCTCCACCCAAACATGCCCCTCCGGCACCACCATCCCAACCGGATACAACACCTTCCTCGTCGGCCCGTCCGTCCCCCAAGTCGCAACCGGCTTCGGTATAATCCTATCCCCCTCCAAACCCACCACTCGCTTGACCACAATCTTATCCGGATCAGTTGGGCTCCTGTTCCCATCATTAGCCAAAACCGCCGCCCCCTTCCCTTCTCCTTCCCCTTCCCCTTACCCTTCCCCTCACCTCCCTCCCTCCCCATGAGACAAACATACCTAAAAGTCACCACCTCCCCCCTCCTCAACCCCTCTCTCACCCCAGCCTTCCAAACCAAACACCAATCCCTCCCCAAACCCTCATTATACCCCCTGTTCAAAAACGGGTACATGCTTGGCCCGTTGACAAGCGTCACCTGCGCAACGTAGGAATTGAACCATATAAATGCCGGGAGCCAGGTCGCGTATCGAAAGAGGTAGTGGCCAAATTGTCGTGCGAAGCTTCCCTTTTTTGGTATCCAGGACGTCCATCGTGGGGCCATTTCATTGAGAGGGTGATGTGTCTTGAGGTCCAGGTGAAAATGTTGCTTCAAGTGATGGGTACAAGGTACATGCAGCTCGAAAGCTGGTGAGTGATTGACTGATGTGCCGTGAAGTGAGGTAAGCTTCTTGGCCGGCGAGAGATGGGATAGATAAGATAAGGAATTTAAAATAGTGGAGGGGTAGTTTTCGGTGAATGCACTCAGGCAACAACAACATCAGGGGCAAACAGCCCAAAGCTAAAGGGAGATACGAGATGCATGTGAAAAGTCAAAATACACCCATCGCCATGTTCTCCTAGATGGTGGCGTTAAATACATCATCCGCTTTTCATGACCAAATTACAAAGCAAATGACCACCCCCCAATCTTCATGTCTAAACCCTCCGCTGCCAGACATAAACCACCAGCTCGATCTTTGTGTATACTGGCACTTTTGTACCCTCATCATTCATCTTAAAACGCTATGAGACATCGAGAATAGCCATGTATCTATCATGCCCACGGCTTTTTGTCCCCCAAAACGCCTGCCCATAAACAATGTATGCATTAAACCGTCTCGGGGATGTTGTCGTCAGACTCGCTGACCGACTCGTCACCGCTGACCTCGGCGTTCTCACGCTCCCTCTTCTCCATAAGAGCCTGGAGCTCGGCATCATCCGACTCGGTGACAGCCTTGGGCTCCATCTTGACCACCAGGTGGCCGCCAGCCGCCTCGATGCTTGTGCGGATGTCCACGATGGCCTCCTCTAGCCGAGCGATACCTGCGTTCTTGTCCAGGCACGTGTTGGTAAGACTGCGAGAGAGGTTAGCACAGTGTGTTTAGAGCATATCTCATATTCACTTACACATAGAGAGGAGGAGAAACAAGTCTGCACTTGACCTGAGTATCGGCAGTGTTACGGGCCTCAGCGGTGCGGAGGGCAGTCTTGATGGCATCGATACCCTCATAACCGAAGCAGGTAACCTCAACATCGGCACGGACCTTGGTGGGCTGGGGGGTAAGACGCTTGCCAATGTAAGACTTGAGTTCATCGGCAACCGGGGTGCTGGGGAACTGGATATCGTTCCAGACATCAGGGTTGCTACATCGCCGTCAGTATGCGCTCAGCACCCCAGCACGACAGGTATACATACGTGATAGAAAGCTTGAAGGCGTCCAGCGAGTGGCCGTACTTCTTGTTGAGCGGCCAGCCTATTGTCTCATAGAGGGTCTCGATGGGGGTCTCGGTCTTCTCAGCAACGTGTCTCATGATGGAGTGCACAATCTTGGACTTGTTGTAGCGCTCCTCGCAACGAATGATATCCTCGGGCGACACGCGACGCTTGGAAAGATCGATATACCCCTTCTCCTTGTCGACACGGAGAACAACGACAACCTCATTGCGACCGACGCGGATGAGCTTCTGGATCGATCTGATGCGCCGTCTGGAGAGTTCGGAAAGCAGGATCATGCCGTCGATGTTATCGTACTCGAGGAGTTTGACATAGGCTCCCATGTCGGCGATCTGCAGCACCCGGTCAGTACCTGCATACGAGAAAAACGACCCGGCAAGCGACCTGAACGTACCTGTTTTACGTTCACCATCACAAAGGAGTCGATTTCGGGGTACTTCTCCTCGTAGAATCTGCAGTTGGAGAGCGACATTTTGACTGTGCTTGCCGTTCCCAGGCGGGGCGAACTCGGGATATGTGTTGGTTTTTGTTGTGAGGGAGAAGTTCGACCAGTCGAGAAAAAGGTGCGAAACGGGTGAAGACGGTGCTTTGGTGTCTTGGGAAGGACCTGGAAATAGTTGAAGCTCTTGGTATCGCTGCGTTCAACACTTGCCCTTTCAAAGAACAGTCATTGGGGCCCGCCCCGCGAAGCAAAAATCGGTGCCACCACTGAACAATACTAGAAAGTGGGCTGTGGCTGGTGCGCCTGGCCATTGGTGGGGTGAATTGTGGCCCCACTCTCCAAGAGCAACAGGCTTCCCTGTCGGGTTGAGCCAAAGGTGGGATGAAATGTGGGGGTAATTTTGGTATTGCTCTGCGTAACATACGGTATTCTCTCTGCTTGGCGGCCCACCTGCGCCAGAATTCCGCAGAAGACCTACGTCAACGGTTGGAGCTCCAATCACACGCCAACCTGCCACTCCTGCCAGGAACACCTCAATCTGAACAAGGGAGGTCGGCTGGCCGTTGCTACGTCTGAAGCCTGAAGTATAAATCTGGTACCTTTGGAGATCCCTTCTTCTTTTGAGCTCTCACAATCCGTTTGTTGCTCTTGTGGCGTTCAGGTTCAGTTTGGGGGTTGCTGACTGTCTTTCATTGGATTATTGATACCTCCTCCTGCTTCCTGTCTGGTCATGAGCAACAGCCGAGGAACGAATCCGATATGATATTTCAAAGTCACGCGTCCTTCCCAACAATACCCGATAACTTTCCGGGTGACCGTTTCTCGTCTCAAAAGCTACCATCAGCACCAAGCACGCCCGAATCGCCATGACGGAGCTTAGTACAACCGTGGCGGTTGCTGCCGCTGCGGGCTCCGATGCTTTGTCCTCTGCCGTAGCCACGGCCAGCGATGTAGCAAACACCCACGGCTCGTCATCTTGGCTGGGCATGTTCACAAAGGTCCTCATCTGGGTTTTGCAGCTCCTGTCAACAATACTCTACTATGTCATCAAGCTGGCCACCATATCGGTCCCGACGCTGCTTTACAACAACCTGTTCTCCAAGAGCTGGACCGTCACCATGAACGCAACAACGCTCATGCTCATTATAGCTGCTATTGCCTTGGGCATGGCCTACTTTGTCCGCTATCACTATCTCACTTCGTATGAGAGATTACCGCCAGAACCCCAACGCAAGCAGCCGAGCATCGAAATATTCTCAAACACCAGAGAGGAGGATGCGAAGGCTGCCTTGGCCACCTATCTGGACCAGTTCATCAGCGCTATCAAGATCTTTGGCTATCTGGAGGCTTCTGTCTACCATGAGCTCACCCGAAGTGTCCAAACTAGGACACTCATAGCTGGAGAAACTTTGAATCTGGAGGAAGAGGAGGGGTTCTGTCTGGTGGTGAATGGGCTGGTGGAGATCTTTGTCAAGTCAGGAGAGAACCGTTCGTTTGCTCATAGCCCACATATCAGCGCTGTGGACGGGTTGAGTTCGAGCGACGATGAGCATTCGATTCCTGGGCAGCAGCGTTACCAGCTTTTGACCGAGGTTCGCAATGGTGCGCCCATGTCATCGATTTTCTCCATCATGTCTCTATTCACCGAAGATGTACCCCTGAGGTCTCCAGAAGATGAGGTGTCTGGGCCTGGCCTGTTTGCTGGGTATCCGCCGAGCGCAGGCTATCCGCCGAGTGCAGGACTGGGAGTGGTACGTCCTCGTCTGGCGCCCATGTCACAACCAGTGACACAGCCAGGGACACCTCAAAGGCATGATTCTGCGACGAGCTCAATAGAGAACCTACCAGAATCTGTCATTACGCCCGAGACTCCTGTCTCTGTTGATACACTGCCCCATGTTCCGCCAATCAGCCTTGACACAGGCACGGCCAGCAGGCCAAAGAGACCAATCCCGAAGCGGGCAGCAACCAGCTCTGCTCATCCAGACATCATTGCGAGGGCGACGGTGGACACAACCATAGCCATCATTCCCGCCAGTGCCTTTAGACGTCTAATCCGCATCTATCCCAAGGCAACCTCACACATTGTCCATGTGATACTGTCCCGATTCCAGAGAGTCACGCTCGCCACTGCGTACAACTACTTGGGTCTGACTGCGGAGGTCATGCAGATTGAGCGCAACATGCTCAAGTACACGACACGTGAGCTTCCAAACCACTTACGGGGCGACGCGCTGGACAGACTCAAGGAGAAATTCAAGAAGGAGAGGGAGCGGCTAGGCGAGGAAGAAGTTGGTAAGGGGATCGCTCTCCACAATGCCGGAGCTGGCCGTCGCCGCCAGTCTCAAGCTACCTTGCGGAAAGACGCCGTGCTGCAAGCCTTCGCAAAGCAAAGACACCGATCGCTTGTTGGTTCGGGTGATGGCCCCAGCCCCGGAGACCTCTTGGGAGACATGCAGGCAGCCAGAAGTGGTGGCCATCACCACCGAGCTCCCACTCTCTCGGCCACCTCACCTCAGTTTGACCTGCATGTCCCACGGGAAGCCATGTCTCCCCTTGCCCAGCGGACTCCCAACCCTTTCAATACGCTGAGGAACCCCCATGTGTCCATAGCCAAAGGGGAATCGGTCGATGAAGATAACCTCTTCAGAGAGTCCATCCTGGAGTGCATGTTCAAAGCCCTGGGCTTGGCTAATAATGGGACAGTCAAGGACACGGATTCTGTTCAGGCGTCTCCACGGCTAGTATCGCTTGATGGGCGCCGCCAGAAAGCCGTCTTTACTACTGGGGCATTTGGTCTCATGGGCGGCGTGGGGGCATCTGCTGATGGCGATACAGAGTCGGTAGCTTCTACAGGATTTTCTGCTGTTCCAGTCAACCCCACTGTTCTAGCACAAGAAATGAGAGACGAAGTGGAAATCGTCTTCTTCCCCAAGGGTTCGGTACTAGTGGAGCAAGGCGAGCGGAATCCTGGGCTTTACTATGTTGTCGATGGCTTCCTCGATGTCTGTACCCAGACGGAGGATTCGCACTCGGATATTATCCACTCGTCAGGGAGCACGTCGCTGCATGCTATGGATAGTTACGAATCACTCTGTGCACCCCACCAGAGACACTCGTCGATACCCGGAGCAAAGGATGGCCACTTCAGGAACGCACGCAAGAAAAAGACGGGACGACGGAGTGTGGCGCTGATCAAGCCTGGCGGTCTGGCAGGCTATATCGGGACGATTTCGTCCTACAGATCATTCATCGACGTTGTCGCCAAAACTGATGTCTATGTCGGCTTCCTGCCGCTGACGTCGATTGAGAAGATTGTGGACCGATATCCCATTGTGTTGTTGACCATGGCCAAGAGACTGACAAACCTACTTCCTCGCCTCATTCTGCACATTGACTTTGCGCTGGAGTGGGTTCACGTCAATGCCGGACAGGTGATTTTCAACGAGAAAGAAGAGAGCGAAGCCATCTACATTGTGCTAAATGGACGTCTCAGGCTAGTAGAGCAGCGAGAGGACGGTGGCAGCAATGTCAAGGCCGAGTATGGTCAAGGCGAGAGTATCGGTGAGCTCGAGGTTCTCACAGAGTCGAGCCGCTCGGGAACTTTGCAGGCCATTCGTGAAACTGAGCTTGTCAAGTTTCCACGCACTCTGTTCAACAGTCTGGCACAGGAACACCCCAACATCACGATCAAGATTTCCAAGATCATTGCATCCCGCATGAGAGCGCTGATCGACGACCCCACCAAGATGCTGAGCCCTAAGGATTCGGGCAGCAGGATATCAACCACCAGGATCTCATCGACACTCAACCTGAGGACGGTTGCTATCCTGCCAGTAACTTCGGGCGTTCCCGTTGTGGACTTTGGACACAAGTTGCTCAGTGCTCTGCAACAAGTCGGCATTCCCAACGGGGCTACCTTGTTGAACCACGTCGCGGTGCTCAACCATCTGGGCAAACACGCCTTTGCCAAGATTGGCAAGCTCAAGCTTAGCCAGTATCTTGCGGACTTGGAGGAAAAGTACGGGCTGGTGATCTACATTGCGGACACCAACCCTAATACTCCGTGGACGCAGACCTGCATCTCTCAGGCCGATTGCGTGTTGTTAGTCGGGGTGGCTGAGGGATCGCCGGAGATAGGGGACTATGAGCATTTCATGCTGGGTCTCAAGGCCACTGCCCGCAAGATCTTGGTCTTGCTGCATCCTGAGCGGTATTCTAACCCAGGTCTTACCAGAGCTTGGCTCAAGAACCGGCCATGGATTAATGGTGGCCACTTCCACATCCAGATGGCCTACAGTCCCACACTGCCGCCAATGCACACCGGAGCCAAGCGAACCCTTAAACAAACAGTCCAAAACATCCAAGCCGAGATTCAAAAGTTCACCTCCCGCCGTGTTCGCCATAGCTACATGCCTGACGCGCCTTACAAAGGCGACTTCCACCGTCTCGCCCGTCGCCTCTGCGGGAAGTCTGTCGGTCTGGTTCTTGGTGGCGGCGGAGCCCGTGGCATTGCTCAAATCGGCGTCATTCGCGCCATGGAAGAAGCCGGCATTCCCATCGATATCATTGGAGGCACCTCCATCGGCGCTTTCATTGGCGCCCTCTACGCCCAGCACGCCAACATGGTACCGATATACGGCCTCGCAAAGAAGTTTGCCGGTCGCATGGCAAGCATCTGGCGTTTCGCCCTCGACTTGACCTACCCCTCTGCCTCGTACACCACCGGCCACGAATTCAACCGCGGGATTTACAAAGCCTTTGCCAAAACCCAAATCGAAGACTTCTGGCTGGAATACTACTGCAACACGACGAACATTTCCAAATCCCGCGCCGAGTTCCACACGAGCGGTTACGCATGGCGATATGTCCGCGCATCCATGTCCCTCGCGGGTTTGCTCCCTCCCCTTTGCGACGAAGGGAGCATGCTCCTCGACGGGGGGTACATCGACAACCTCACCGTCTCGCACATGAAATCGCTCGGTTCCGACGTCATCTTTGCCGTCGACGTGGGCGCGCTGGACGACAACACGCCGCAGCAGTTTGGTGACACTTTGTCGGGGGTGTGGGCGTTTTTTAACAGGTGGAACCCGCTGAGCAATGTGCCCAACCCGCCCACGCTGGCGGAGATACAGGCGAGGTTGGCGTATGTGAGCAGTGTGGATGCGTTGGAGAGGGCGAAGACGATGCCGGGGTGCTTCTACATGAGGCCGCCGATCGATGAGTATGGGACGTTGGACTTTGGGAAGTTTAACGAGATTTATGAGGTTGGGTATGAGTATGGACGGGGGTATCTGAAGGAGTTGAGGGAGAAGGGGGTGTTGCCGTTGATTGGGGAGGATGGGAATGGGGGGAAGGAGAAGGGGGATGGGGGAGGGAAGGCGGGGTTGAGGAGGACTATGGCGCCGAGGAGGAATAGTATCTGAATTTTTGGGAATTTTTTATTTTTTATTATTTTTATTTATTTATTTAATTTATTTATTTTTTGGTTAGCGAGGGACGGGGGTGTAGATTAGCGTTTTTGTTTTTGGGGAGGTGTAAAAAGGGGCATGCATGTTTGGTGTTGTTGGTATTTGGTATTTATATACATGTTCTTTACAAATAGTCTAACAAGAAAGAGATTTATTTTTTCAAAACTTCCAGCCATGATTATTACTCGCTTTTTATTTTTATTTTTACATGGTGTTGGTTATTCCACTCCCACAATCAATCCAACCCCCGAGTGTGAAAAATCACCACAAAACAGTAGTATTACAAACCATCCTCTGTCCCCGGACCTGGTCGACCACCTCCTTTTTATGCCAACACCTCGCGAAACGTTTCGCTTCGGAGGGGTGATCAAAGCCGATCAAGAAACGGGAATACACCTTGATTTCTTCCCCCTTTTTCTTCTTACCCCCTGTATCCCCGGTAGAATTATCATTTTGCGACTCTGGCAATCCGACATAGCTCATCGTCGCCCTCAGCGGTGTGATGGCGCCCTTTTTCCTGGTTTTGGGGAGTATCCCCCAGGGTGCGTCGTCGTTTTGGATCAGATGGGATAGATACCGGGGTGTGAGCTTGCCGTTGCTCAGGCGGAGGAGGATGAAATTCCCTGCTGCCTGTTGAGGGACATCGGAAAAGGGTTGGGGGATTGGTAGTAGACGGGCTTGGTTGGTCTTTGGGAGGGTGCTGGTTAGGAAGGAGGTTTGAAGGCTTGACAAGGGGTGGATGGAGGAGGTTATGGTCGGGATGTGAGGGGGGATGAGGGAGTGAGGTATGGATTAGGGGGAGGGGAAAAAAAGGGAGGGGAGAGGGGGTAGGGGGGCGGAGCGGGAGAGGGAGTGTTGGGTTTTGAGGAGGGAGAGGTAAGATAGGTGTGAGGGGGGGGAGGGGGAGAAGAGGTAGAAGATGTGGGTTGGGGAGAGGTGGTGGGGGGGGGGGTGGGGGAGGAGTATAGGAGGCGGTTAGTCTCTGGGGGGGGGCCAAGAAGGGGGGAGGGGGGAGGGAACCTTTGTCGGGACCGCTGGTCCAGCCTTGGACGTGTTGGCCTGACGGGGAGACGCGGTAGAAGTCTGATTCTAGGAGGTCTCGGGGGGCGGAGAGGATGAGGACTGTTGGGGCGTTGGGGTCTTTGTCAGTGGTGGTGGTGGTGGTGGTGTCATCGGCGAAGGTGGACTGGAGCTGCTTTAGCCATTCGCCGAGTTCTTGGTCGTCGTGGAGGGATATTCGTGGTGGTTCGGGGTCATCGTTTTGGGCGGCGGTGGCGGTGGTGGTGTTGCCTAAGGGTGAGGCTTTGGATGGTTGGGGGGTGGAGGCTTTGGGGAAGAGCCGGTTGTAGAGGGAGGGTTTGGTTCTTTTTTGGTGATTGGTTTTGGGTTCTGATGAGGATGCGAAATGGCGACGGGCTACTGTTGTGAGTTGCCATGGTTGGGAGGTGAGTGGCTGCAGTATGTGCAGTCGTTTTGGTGGCATTTTGTGAGATGGCTTATAGAGTTGTGAACTGTCGAATAAGTGTGAGCGAGTGTGTGTGAGTGAGAGGTGGTTGTGAAAACTGTGCCAAGACACGGCCCCACCCACGGCGCCGGGAACGCCTTCCGAGCCGGCGCCGGCAGGTCGCTCTTTCCTGAGAAATATTCCAAATTCTAGGTTTTGGAAAAGTGTAATTAGTTTATGAGGCGTTATGTGGCTCACGAGCGCCCCAGATACAAGCCTCATTATTCCCAAACTATTTCTTCCGACAGGTAAGCATCACAAATTTGCGCATGTTGCAAATTCTTTCAGGTGCCGAAAATACTAACTTGGACCTTCAGATATCTCGCATACGCCTCTCAAAATACTCAATAGGTGCTCAAAACACATCAATAGGCCTTAAATTATCTTCAATAGGCCTTATATTATCTTTGACAGGCCTTGAACTATATTTGACAGGCCTTGAAATATTTTTGACAGGCCTAGAATCATCTCCAATACGCCTTCGACTATCGCTTTGACACCTTCAAGAGATCATTCGAGACGTCAAAATGAAGAGTTTAGACTTCCGAATCCGGAAGCTACACGTCAACACCGACGCCGACAAGCGTCTACAGAAGCGACAACCTTCTCGGATCTATGTCAACGAGGAGGCTCTGATCGAATTAACGGGCTCAAAAGACGGTGGCAAGGCTGTCTGTATCGAAAGGATCCATGAGCTAAATGCTGTGAGGCGTGAGGCCACTCTGTGGAAGGCCCCCGAAAAGCTGGATAAAGCCGTCACACAAATGTACGACGATTTTCGGACTGCCTGCGGCTTCAACCTTGGCGAGCAAGTGCGCATCACTGCGCTTGGCGGAGCTCTCCCAGACGCCGATGAGGTCATCGTCGAGCAAAAGCCGAGCGAAGATGGTTCGCTACCAGACCCCATTTTCCCCGAAGATCTCCCAGGCTGGATTGTTCTTATCGCAGGGCGTCTCTCACAAATCGAACATGTACACACCGGCTGGACCATCAAGGACCTCTACGTCCGGGGCCCAAAACGTTCTTTCATTGTCACCTCGGTCAATGGGAGGCCTACTGGTAACGCACGATATATCGACAGGAAAACCCGGCTGGTTGTTGGGACAGCGGCGCGCACGAACGAGACTGGCGAGGGACCAGTCAAACCTTTGGAGAGGAAACTCGAATTAAGGGGTATCCAAGGTCTGGACGCACCCCTCAAGAAGCTCAACGACCTGCTGCGAGCCTTCACCTTTGGAGGCATCAAGAAGAGCTTCACGTTCCCAGGCATCGTCATCCATGGTGGCCACGGCACTGGGAAGACAATGCTCCTCAACAGTCTAGCCCACACAGGCTGGGGAACAGTTTTCCGTATCAAGTTCAAGGACAAACTCGGCGAGATTCAGGAGACTTTTCAGACAGCAAAGCTTCAGCAACCAAGTATCATCCTGATCGACCAGCTCGAGAGGCTGATTGACAAGGACCGCAGCAACCGAGATGCCGTCATTCTCGCCCTCTGTGATTTGTTGGACGGCCTGGCGGCAGAAAAATCGACGAAGGGAGAGGCCCCCCAGGTGCTCGTGGTGGCCACCTGCTTGGATTATACGTCCGACATACCCGAAGACCTCAAAGACCCCGGTCGGTTCACTTCTGAGATTTACCTTCCCATGCCAGACGTAGAGGGTCGCCGTGAGATTCTCTCATCGTTGGATCTCTGTGTTCCACCAGACCAAGAGGACGAGCTTCTCAACCAACTGAGTGCAAGCACTCACGCCTACAATGGCAAGGACTTGAGGCGGCTGGCAGACGAAGCCTGCTTGATCGGTACAACCCGTCATCTATCGACACTTACGGTTTCTGCGCCCACCCCTGACCAATCTCGCCTTCTTTCTCCTCCACCCGAAACCGAAGAGGACGAATCTGCTCCCGCTTCGGCGCCCGCCACCCTCATTCCCGCCGACTATCACAATGCGCTCCGGCTTGTCCGCCCGTCCCTGATGCACGATATCAACCTCAAGCCGCCCCCGATCCACTGGGACGACATCGCCGGCCAATCTCTCGTCAAACAGTCCCTCCGTCGCGCCGTCCGTTTGTCCTTGGAACCCCCCGAGGTCCTCGCGCAATTCTTCGACCGTCCCCCGAAGGGCTTCCTGCTGTATGGACCTCCAGGTTGTTCCAAGACCATGGCGGCTCAGGCCATGGCTACCGAATCCGGCCTCAACTTCTTCGCTGTCAAGGGTGCCGAGCTGCTGAACATGTACGTTGGTGAATCTGAGCGAGCCGTCCGCCGGTTGTTCCAGCGTGCCCGCGAGGTTGCCCCCAGCATGATCTTCTTTGATGAAATCGACAGCATCGCCGGCCAGCGCTCTGGTTTCTCGTCTTCGTCTTCCAAATCAAACGGTTCCAGCGGCGGTGTCAACGTTCTGACGACGTTATTAAACGAGATGGACGGTTTTGAAGCCCTCCACGGCGTCGTCGTCCTGGCAGCGACCAACCGTCCCCATGCTCTTGACCCGGCATTGCTTCGCCCAGGTCGATTCGATGAACTGATTTACGTCTCACCGCCAGACCAGGAGGCACGCCGTGCCATCTTTACCAAGGTCGGTGCCAAGAGGAAGATGAACGACGACGTAGATATCGACAAGTTGGTTGAGGATACGGAGGGCTATTCCGGTGCAGAGATCAAGGGCATCTGCGCGGCAGCAGGAGTGGCGGCTTACGATCGGTTCATCAAGGAGGGAGGTACGGACGTGGGAATACGGATGGGTGATCTGGAGCATGCTATTAAGAACCAAAAGAAGCAGATCACACGGGAGATGATCAAGGGGTTTGAAGACTGGGAGAGGCAGTTTGGGAAGGTTTGAAGGCCTGGAATTTTGTGAATTAGGCGTAGGTACTATCTACCTAGGCCTTTTTGGTATGTAAACAGGCCTTCTTGGTATCCAAGTAGGCATTCGTACTATCAAAATAGGCCTTTTTGCCATTTTATTGTGCTTTTTAGAACCGAAATATGTGGTTTGACTAATACTGATCTGCCTTTTTACTATTTTTATAGGTCTTCTTGAATGTCAAGAGGCCTACCATATGTGTGAACATGCCACCTTAACTATCATTGAAGGCGTTCTGACTAGCCAAGTTTTAAACAGCTCTCTGGGAACCATTCCAGCACACTCATTGGGCAATGCAAGAAATGCCCTCACCTAGCACAAACCAGCAACAGGCCAGAGGGACCGTCGGTGGTGTTGAACACAGACAGACTAGTCCTTTCGCGGTTTATTTCCCCTATCAGAATGCCACTAGGATTCCACAAGACAATGACTGACATGGGATAAATTTAGCGACAACCCCCGCCATTTTAGGGGACTTTTTGCCTCTCCACAGACCCCCCCCGGCCGTCCCCCAGCTGAGTGCCGAAGTGACGTCAAGTAACCCACCATTTCTTATCACGGGGAGCAGACAATCCCAAGGTCGCCATCAGAGAAGCAGTCACGAGCCAGCCAAAAGGGAAGGGAACAAGATAGTGTGTGAAGTGCGACCTGAAGCACTGTGGGAGCAGCAAGAAACACAAGATAGTATTTTTTTTAATTTTTTTTTGGTTACGCTACCTAGGTTATTCACTGGCGCGGGCACTCCGAACGACTGACTGAATATTGACAACGTCTTTTTTTCCCTCTCCCCCTTCTTTCCCCGCAGCCACTCGCGTATAGGGGATT